CCTCCCTGGCCCCTAGACCGGAACGAGGAGGACCCTGGAAGAACAGGATATGTCCCCACCTCCAAAAGACACATTCCGAGAATTGAGGAGGATGACAGGTAGATGCTAATAAAGCTGGAGCGAGAAACAGACCTGTCGACACTGAACTAGAAAAGGAAGGGGAAGCAAGGCTTTATGTTTTGTCCAAACGGCCAAGCTCCCCTAACAAAGAGAAGCTCTGCCTTTATATAGGCTTACACTCTAGATATTACACATTAAAGGATCTTAGGTTTACAGCCTTAGAAATTACAAATAAAAGGGTCTTGGGTTTACAGCTTCAGAAATCACGTATGAAAGGGTCTTGGGTTTACAGTTTTAGGAATTACATGTGAAAGGTTTCTGGTCTCCAGATGGAGGAGTGGGGTGGGGGTTTGATCTTGTTTAACTAAAAACATTGTTTTCTGGAGAGATACCACGCCTGCTATATTATATGAAGGTGATTTAGGAGGTGCCAGTCAGCCAGCCTTTTCTTCTATTGAAATGCAGTGTGGAAGTCAAGGGGGAGGTGATCCCAGATGCCTGGGTCTCCTTCCTCACTACCAAGTCCTCTAGACTGTAATTAGAGACAAAGAAGGAGAAATCCTGATGGACAGCTCTTCCCTGACCCCAGTCCCTTCACCCACCAGTCTTCCTCCCCTCCCTATTCCCATCATTGCTGGGCCTAAGAATTAACTTTGCAGTAACCTTTTATGGACTGACAATGTCATGAATTAAAATGCAGAAGTCCTGGGCCCTTGACTCAACTCCTGAGCTACTAAACAGACGCAGACAAATATTTTGCACCCTCTGAATTGCAATGTCCTCATTTTTGCATTAGAGAAAATAATCCCCTCTCTGCCCTCCCCATTTCTGAAGTTCAGATATGAATCCAAGCAAGAACAGAGGCGCCACGCTGTGGAAGACTGCAGAAGTGTTGCGCTTGCAACGGTTCCCCAGGAAACCTTTGTAGTTCCCACAAGTAGTCACCCCTCCAGCCTTTGTCTGCTCAACCTGGTGCTAAAGAGGGACACCCAGGCATCTCAGATCAACTTCCCCTTTTCATTCCTAAGACTGTAAACTTCCCCTTTTCATTCCTAAGACTGTAAACTGAAATCCTTTTCATATGTAATTCCTAAGACTGTAAACCGAACCCTTTTCATATGTAATTCCTGGGACTGTAAACCAAGACCCTTTTCTTTTCTTTTTTATTTTATTTTTATTTTTTTATTGCATTTTAGGGTTTGGGGTACATGTGAAGAACACGCAAGATAGTTGCATAGGTACACACGTGGCAGTGTGATTTGCTGCCTTCCTTCCCTTCACCTATATCTGGCATTTCTCCCCATGCTATCGCTCCCCAACTCCCCACCCCCCACTGTCCCTCCCCTATTCCCCCCAATAGACCCCAGTGTGTAGTGCTCCCCTCCCTGTGTCCACGTGTTCTCACTGTTCAACACCTGCCTATGAGTGAGAACATGTGGTATTTGATTTTCTGTTCTTGTGTCCGTTTGCTGAGAATGATGTTCTCCAGATTCATCCATGTCCCTACAAAGGACACGAACTCATCGTTTTTGATTGCTGCATAATATTCCATGGTGCATATGTGCCACATTTTCCCAGTCCAGTCTATCATCGTTGGGCATTTGGGTTGATTCCAGGCCAAGACCCGTTTCATATGTTAAGCTATAAACCTAAGATTCTTCCATGTGTAACATCTAAAGTATAAGCCTATATGAAGATGGAACCTTCCTTTGTCAGGGGAGCTTGGCTGTTAGGCAACTATGCCACCTTGCTCCTGGCTGAATAAAACTTCCTCCTGTATTCGGTGTCCAAGAGATCTGTTTCCCATGGCCTCTCCTGCTACATTTTGGTGGATTGGCTGGGAAGCGAGTCGCGGATAGCAGACAGTGGGAAAAAGTCTCTTAGGTGGTTGCCTAGCCCTGTGGAGCATCCCTGCAGGGGGACTCCTGCTCGCTGGGGTGACACATCCTGAGAGCGCTCCTGAGCAGGTATTTGCCAGGTGGAAAAGCCTCACCAGAGTGGAGCAGGGAGGCCCTGCAGTGTGGATCCACCCAGTGGCTAAACACCGAGGAGGAATGAGTATTTTGGGAAATTCGGACCACTGAATTTGGTAAGATTGAACCCAGGAAAGTAGCCCACTCCATTTTGGGTGGAAGTGTGCCCTGATCACCCACGGGTGCCCGATCGGCACTTTGAAGGTAGCTCTCTCTGTAACGTTGGAAGCTTTTGCTTATGGTTTTGAATTGGAAGGAGAGCAATCAGATGTGTGTCTGTGTATGTAGATGTGTCCAGCCAGACTCATCAGTCGTAAAAGGTATCGGGCTCATTAGAAAGGGTCTCATGTGTCAAGCAATTTGTAAGAATTAGAGACAGCCACATAAGGCTGAGTGAAGAAGCCTCTGGGCGTTGTAAAGGATTGAAGTGAATGTAAATCAGAGAGTGCTCTGGTCTTGCTAGGCGGGAACTGCTGTGAGTGAACTAACACTCTCCTAACTGTGGGAATTGTTTCTTTGAAGTGTTAATATGGCTCACCCCCATAGCAAGCGCACCCCTTCAGAAACCATGCTGAAAAAAATTTCAAGACGGGATTCAGTGGCAATTATAAAGTAACTATGACACCAGAGAAATTAAGGGTTTTATGTAGGGAAGATTGGCCAGCATTTAGGGTAGGTTAGCCCCCAGAGGGGACTGTAGAGAGGCCCCTTGTCTCCAAAGTAAGGCATGAGGTTATATACGGCGAGCTAGAACACCTCGATCAATTTCCATACATAGACTTGTGGTTGCAGTTAGAGGGTTCAGTGCTAAACCCTCTGAAGTGGCTAAGAGAGCAGGCAGCGACTGTTTTAGTAGCCAAGGGACAGACTGTTAGAAACCACCATCCCCCTCACCACCGAGAAATGTGGACTCCCAAGTTCAGGCAAATTCAGTGGCAGGAACAGGCAGGATATGTATGCATGAATACTTCAGTTATTGGAAGTAGCTAACCAGGCGTTTATAAACTAAGAGGCGGTAAGCCAGAGGGAAAATCATAGGGAAAGGGAACATCAGGCTCAATGGAAGCTGATGCTTGACTTGATAGCTGCTGCTATGAGAGGAACGCCCCCAAGAGCATGGAAAAAGGGGGGTTCATGGAAAGCACCACAGTCTGACCACCCGCGCCTGCAACATGATCAGTGTGCATTTTGTCAAGAAATAGGATATTGGGGGAAAAAACGCCCACAGTTAATGGGAGAACAGGGTGATCCTAAGCACAAGGATCCAGATAAAAAGTGAAGGGGCTCTGTTTAATCTAATGGAAGGGCCACTGGACTAAAAGAGAGGGGAGTTGGAATCATATGCCCCAAAGAGCCCAGTCACAATGCTGTCACAATCCAGATGACAGCCCTGTAACCCCCCACAGAAAAAAGCAGAACCAATATTGTTAGAGCTATTAAGGTGTTAAGAGAACAGACTTTCTTGTACTTAATGGACTGCCCCTGCCCCCTTCTCCAGCAAAACCTATTGTGCAAATCGAGGGCCACTGTCCCATTCAACAAAAGAGACTCCCTGCAGCTAAAACTGCCTCAGTCAGGGGTCATCCAGGCTCTCAATGTCCCTTGGGAAGGAGGGTGGAGCCTTCCTAGCCAGAAGCAGAAGAATGATATTATCACCCAGGCCCATGCAGGGTTTGCATGGCTTTGCACCCAACTCATACACACACTTGGGATTATTGCCAGCAGAGGATAGTTGGTTCACTTAATTGGACTTAAAGAATACCTCCTTAGCATTGGACTGGCCTCGGAGGGTCAAAAACTATTTGCATTTCAATGGGAGAAACCCAGAAGCAGGTGTCACTATTCAATACACCTGGACCCAGCTTCCCAGGGGCTCAAAAACTCTCTCATCATCCTTGGGGAGGCATCAGCCCGTGACCGCCCCCCAGAAGCTTCTTGCTTGCAGGCTACCCCTGTACACTGATAACCTTCTATTGAGACACCCCACAGCAGTTGGGTGGACAAATAAGTGCCTTACTTTGGCACCTGGAGGACTGTGGGTATAAAGTGTCTAAAAGGAAAGCCCAGATTTGCCATAAAGCAAATGCAATATCTGAGGCTCACCATCTGGAAGGGGGAATGCAGCCTAGAAGCAGAGAGGAAGCAAGCCGCTTGCAAAGTGACAGAACCTGAGACTAAAGGTCAGGTGAGAGAGCTCCTGGGAGCAATGGGTTTTGTAAATTGTGGATTTCCAAACTTCGCAGTACTAGCCAAAACCCTCTATGATGTGACAAAGTGGGGAGACAAGGAGCCCTTTGAATGGGGATCCCAGCAGCATCAGGCCTATCAGGAACTGAAAACGAAACTAATGTCAGCTCCAGCTTTGGGGCTGCCTGATTTAATGAAGCCCTTCACATTCTATGTGGCAGAAGGAGAAAAAGTGGCAGCTGGGGTCCTAGTCCAAACAGTGGGACCTTGGCCCAGGCCTGTAGCTTACCTCTCCAAGCAGCTGGATGGAGTTTCCAAAGGACGGCCCCCATGCTTAAGGGCCCTGGCAGCAACTGCTCTGCTAGCACAAGAAGTGGATAAGCTAACTCTGGGACAGAACTTAAATATCAAGGCACCTCACGCAGTAGTGACTCTAATGAATACCAGAGGGCACCACTGGTTATCAAATGTTAGGCTTACCAAATACCAGGGCCTGCTGTGTGAAAATCCCCGTATCACCACTGAAGTCTGCAACACCTTAAACCCTGCCACTTTGCTCCCAATGTCAGAGGGTCCTGTTGAACACAACTGTGTTGAAGTCCTGGACACAGTCTATTCCAGCAGGCCTGATCTTCAGGATCAGCCATGGACAGTAGTATCCTGGGAGTTGTATGTGGATGGGAGCAGCTATGTCAATCCACGAGGGGAAAGATGTGCAGGCTACGCCGCCGTGGTAACTCTGGACACTGTAACCGAGGCCAAATCCCTGCCTCAGGGCACCTCAGCTCAGAAGGCTGAACTCATTGCTTTAACTCAAGCCTCAGAGCTGAGTAAAAATAAGGTTGTAAACATTTATACTGACTCTCAATATGCCTTCCCAACAATGAGCACTGTACAAAGAGAGAGGCCTGTTAACTTCAGGGGGAAAAGAAATAAAGTATCAGCATGAAATTTTGCAATTGCTAGAAGCAGTCTGGAAGCCCTGGAGGGTGGCAGTCATGCATTGCTGAAATCATCAGTGGGCCCACACCTCCGTGGCCCTGGGAAATTCCCAAGTGGATTCAGCAGCTCGTAAGGCAGCATCTGCCCCCTATCGAATAGCAGTTACAGCCCCGCTGATTCCCCAGATCCCTGATCTAATACCTACTTCCTCTCAGGAGGAAAGAGACTTTCTCCAGACAGAAAGGGGCAACTGATTAAAGAAGGATGGATCCAACGGCCAGATGGAAAAATAGCAGCACCACAGCTGCTGAGGGCAGCAGTTGTACAAGCCGTATACGAGACTACTCATTTAGGTCAAGAGTCACTTGAAAAGATGTTGGGCTGGTACTTTTACATCTCACACTTAGCAGCCTTGACCAAAACTGTGGCACAGCGATGCATTACATGTCGGCAACACAACGCGAGGCAGGGCCCAACTATTCCCCCTGGAATTCAAGCTTATGGAGCAGCTCCATTTGAAGATCTCCAGGTAGACTTTATTGAAATGTCCAAGAGTGGGGGACATAAGTATTTGTTGGTCCTGGTGTGCACATACTCTGGATGGGACTGAAAGAGCCCATGAAGTAACCCATGTGCTGCTTTGAGATCTTATCCCTAGGTTTAGATGGCCACTGCACATCAGATCAGACAACGAACCAGCATTTGTGGTAGATTTAGTCCAGAAAACAGCAACGGCCTTGGGTATCACCTGGAAACTGCATGCTGCCCACTGACCTTGGAGTTCTGGAAAAGTGGAAAAAATGAACTGGACCATCAAAAACAGCTTAGGGAAAATGTGTCAGGAAACGAGATTAGAGTGGGTGCAGGCACTTCCCTTGGAGTAATTCAAAATTAGAGGCACCCCCTTTAGGAAAAACAGGATATTCCCCTATGAAGTCTTATACCATAGGCCCCCTCCCCTACTCTGGACACTCCTAGGAACTCCTTGGTAGTGGGGAGAGATTGAGTTAGGATGCTAGTTACCAGCTCTAAGGAGAATCCTTAGGATACTTCAGCCTAAGTAAATAACAAATGTTCTGTAAGCCTTTTTCTCCCCAGTTCACCCTTTCTCACTAGGTAATCATGAGTGGATAAAGGATGGGAGTAGGGCCAGGTACGGTGGCTCATCCCTATAATCCCAGCATTTTGGGAGGCCGAGGTGGGTGGATCACGAGGTCAAGAGATGGAGACCATCCTGGTCAACAAGGTGAAACCCTGTCTCTACTAAAAATACAAAAATTAGCTGCGCATGGTGGCGCAAGCCTGTAGTCCCAGCTACCTGGGAGGCTGTGGTAGGAGAACTGCTTGAACCCAGGAGGCAGAGGTTGCAGTGAGCCGAGATCATGCCATTACACTCCAGCCTGGGTAACAAGAGTGAAACTCCATCTCAAAAAAAAAAAAAAAAAGGACAAAAGGACATGAGTACAGCCCCTCTAAAGCCACAATGGAAAGGACCTCAAACCTGATCCTGACCAATCCCACAGCGGTGAAGGTAGAGGGAATCCCAGCCTGAATCCACCACAGCCATGTAAAAACCAGCAACAGCTGAAACTTAGACCAAGGCAAGGACTGCAGAATCACCTTAAAAAGGACAACGAGCCTTCCTCCAGCCATATCCCAGAAGCTGGCTGGTCCGCACACGGCCAAAGCATGACGAGATTCATCGTGGGACTTGTTCTTTTTCATATTTGGACTTGCACAGTAGGAACATTAACTAATTTTGAAGAATGCCCTCAGTATGTACACCAGGTAGGACGTAAAAGTTACTTCCATTCTTTTGTCCTGCAGTTCTTATAAATGTAAGACACAGAAGGGAACCTGTTTATATAATGGTACTCAATATAAGGTGTGTAATCCGTAAGATGGACAGATAGCTGTGTCATAGGCATCATTAAGCCCTCTTTCTTCCTATTATCTGTTAAGATAGGTGAGCTATTAGGGTATCCAGTCTACTCCACTAAGGAGAAGAGAGACCTAAAACTAGGGGATTGGACAGATGATGAGTGGCCACCGGAGAGAATTATTGAGTACTCTGGGCCGGCCACATGGACAGAGGATGACTCATGGGGATACCGGACCCCTATTTACCCCTCATCATAAGTGTTATAATAGTAATAGGTGTTTGTTTACTGCTCCCTTTTCTACTCCCCCTGTTCCTTCAGATGATTAGAGGATTCATCACTATTGAGTTAGCCAAAAAATGACATCACAAGTGTATTATATGAAACATTATCAGTCAGTTTCTTCAGAAAATCTGGAAAGTGAGAATGAAAGTGAGACCTCTCACTAATATTATAAAGTGATGAGGGTCTCAAAGGGGGAGGTGAAGAGGCATCTCAGATCAACTTCCCCTTTTCATTCCTAAGACTGTAAACCAAAACCCTTTTCATATGTAATTCCTGAGACTGTAAACCAAGACCCTTTTCATACGTTAAGCTATAAACCTAAGATTCTTCCATGTGTAACATCTAAAGTATAAGCCTATATAAAGAAGGAACCTTCCTTTGTTAGGGGAGCTTGGCTGTTAGGCACTATGCCACCTTGCTCCCAGCTGAATAAACTTTCCTCCTGTATTCAGTGTCTGAGAGATCCATTTCCCATGGCCACTCCTGCTACAGTGCCATGAGAAGGCCCTTCATACAGCTGTGTTAGAGCCAAGAAGCCAAAGCCAGGCTGTGTTCCAGGCCCTCTGCATATTCTCAAGGTGGGAGTGGGAGCTGTTGCAGGGAAGAAAACAGCCACCCCTGACATGGGGGTCAGGGTGATCAATGTTTACTGAATAACAATGAGCCACTGCCCAAAGAAACAGTGTTCTAGGTCTTTCCTTAGGTCCCTGTCCTAAGGAAGCCCTTGGCTGAGGGCAAACACACCTTTGATGAAGGCAAGTAGAAGTGGAGAGGGAAGAAGAAGAAAGGGAGAAATATCTCCCTAAATGCCTCTTGTACCACATTAGTGTCAGACCTCATCCTTCCCTTGGTCCTCCTGTGTACTTAGCAAAGCCTCTCCCAAGCCCTCCTGGTCCCTACACTTTTCTTCTCCATCATGCTTTCTCCTCTGTGGATACTCTCCCTACTCTCCAACATTCACTACTGGTTCATCACAGTGATGCCTATGCTGTGCTAGGCTTTATGCTGGACCCTGAGAGTACAGGGCTGAATCAGATCAGATCTCTATCCTCCAGGGGGCACAGTCCAGTGGGGAAGATGAACAGGTGAACAGAAGACAACAACCCAACAGGACAAGTGCTGAGATAAAAAGAATGGGGCTAAGGCAGAATCCTGGAGAGGAAGCTCGCCCAGCTCAGGAGCAAGGCTCTGGTATCTGTTTTCCCCTCAGACTGTAAGGTCCTTGAAGCCCAGGGCTGGGTCTAATTCATCTCTCTGACCCACCCTTTCCTTTGCTGGATGTCTTCAGGATGCACATTACAGGGTTATCTGTCAGGGCAAGAACAAGTCTAGAGGTCAAGCTCATTTCTAGTGTCAGTCTAGAAAGAGAAACAGTGCCCCCTAAAGACTGAGAATGAGGAAAGTGGGTTCAGGAAGTAGGTAGGAGAAGAAACTTTTCTCACTCTGAGCCTCAATCTCTGGCATCTCAGCCAAGCACAGTGGCTCACGCCTGTAATCCCATCACTTTGGGAGGCCGGGGCAGGTGGATCATTTGAGGTCATGAGTTTGAGACCAGCCTGGCCAACACAGTGAAACCCAATGTCTATTAAAAGTACAGAAATTAGCTAGGTGTGGTGGTATGTCCCTGTGGTCCCAGCTGTTTGGGAGGCAGAGGCAGGAGAATCACTTGAACCTGGGAGGTAGAGGTTGCAGTGAGACAAGATCGCACCACTGCACTCCAGCCTGGGAGACAGAGCAAGACTCCAACTCTCTCTCTCTCTCTATATATATATATTAGATAGATAGATATACATATACATACATATATATATATATGTCTGGTGTCTCTACCTGGGAAACCCAGGCTGGCTGCAGATCAAACTAACACTTGGAGAGGTTTTCAAACATAAACCCCTATTTCCAATCTGACAAATTATAATCTCCAGAGGCTGGAGGCCCAGGAATTTGCTTCTCCCAGTCGATTCCAATTCCCTACCCTGTGTCCCATTAGAAACCTCTGGTCTAGATCCCCATGACAGTATGAAACTAAGAAGTCTTCCTAAAGCAAGGGCTAAGGTAGTCCCCACTCTGGAGTAACAGGAAGATGGGAACTATGATCTGAACCTGAGAAGGTGTCATGACTCCTGAGCCACCCACATGTGTGGCCAGGAGAGCCCTACCTTTGGGGACACCACCCACTTAGATGCTCTGAGAGGTCTGTCATGTGGTGGTACTCCTCTTCTCCCTCACCCTCATTTCCTGCCTTACAAATGGAAATCTTTATACTGCACACAACAAAGCAAAAGCTAATTGAGCTTTCAATGGATTGCCTACTTCTAGGGACTACAGAGCTTTTGGATTTCTGTATTGCCTTTCTGTCATTGCTGAGCCTTTAGCAGAACCTGGTCCAAACTTTGGGCCTCAGAATGATGAGAAGTAATCTGTGGCATGCTTGAACCCTGACTTGGAAGTTGCCCCCACTTCTGAAATCAGCTTGAAAGGCTGGAGTGATGGAGAGATTCCAGTGGGAAAGCTGTATGGAAGCCATGGATCCTGGGACATCATCCCCCTGCCCAAGTTGAAGTCTCCCTCCACAGCCCCCCGGGAATTAGGCCTGATTCTCTGAAAGAAGGGAGGCTAATTTCTTTCTCCCCTCCCCCACCTTCACATATCTCAAGGGCATGTCCAAAGAGCCAGTGGGTGGGAGGCCCTGCAAATTTTTCCATAGCTTTGGCCAACTTCTGCTTCTGCAGTAGCAGTCAGATGAGCTTCAGAAACCCTAAGACCAAGATCAGCCCAGAAGCCCACAGGACCAAGCGGGAGAGGCTCGGGGAGAGGAAGCTGGGCACCATGGCTGGAGTTGCAGCCACCTACAATTCATTTGACCTGCCTCCAGCTGCTCCTGGGTTCCTTTATACTCTGGACCCATGTACCCTGCCAGCTCCCAGCCCTAGCCACTCCCTGCAGCCAGCAGTAGCCAAGGCTGGGCTGACTGCCACAGGGCAGAGACAGCAACCCCAAAGCCATAACAACAGAAGAGAGAGCCTAACAGCCTTCTTCCAAAATTCAGCTAGAGAGAAACCTAATAGCGGACTCCAAAAAAAACCAGCAATGGGCATTCCACCTTTGTTCCTTAGTAGAACAAACAGATGGCAATTCTTAGTGTAATTATCAGGCACTTTTTACATATTATCTCCTTTAATTCAGAGAGCAAGGAGGTCAGAGGCACTCATATTTTATACCCATTTCCCAGATAATGAAGCTGAGGCTCAGCTTGCCTATGCTTTCTCACAAGAAAGCTTCCAGTGTCCCCTTCAATATAAACCCTTGAGAGAGCTAGCACTTAGGTTAGGCTCTCCATGCTTTGAGTTCCTTTTTGTGAGGCACCTTCAGAGACAAGGTTTTAGGCCCAGGAGGGAAATACCAGGGCCAGCTCCACCTCTAAAACCATAGTTCCCCCATTTGACACTTAGGAACACAGAACTTTCCAGTTGATGAGAAGAAGTCATCAAATTCAATCCCTCCTGAATGGATGGAGCCACTTAGGCCCAAAGAGGGTAGGGAATATCCAAAGTTGCACTGCAAGACAGTGGCAGCTTCCAATGCCACCGCCCAGGCTTCTGTGGAAAAAAAAGTTTGGCCCAGGCTACTGCCTTTCCTGGGGAAGGTATGCTATTTCCTTCTCCATTATTGAACTATATCCGTCAGAATCCCAGCAGAAAAGATAATCTGCTGCAGATATTTTAGATGAAGAGACTTGGATGCAGAGGGAGACAGACTTAAGAAATCCAATAAGAGAGGGGCCAGATTCAAGATGGCATGGTAAGAACAACTCAGGATTGCAGCTCTCAGTGAACACGCAGAGGGTGAGTCAAAGCCGCATTTCCAGATGGATCTTTGTTGCCCACAGAACGGGGAAATTCCCAGGTGTAGGAGAGACACGGGACACCAGTGCAGCTGTTTAGGCTGGTGCAGCCGCTTTGGCTGGCACCACAGCGCAGCGGCACTCCACAACACTCCGCACAAAACACACTGGTCCGGGTGCCCTGTTAAACCGGCAATCTGAGATTTGGGAGGGCAAATTAGCATATCCATCTGATTAAATGGGACTTGGACAGTAAGCCAGACCAGGAGATTCCTGGGAAGCAGCGTTTGAGCCAGCGCAGTGGGTTGCTGCACAGGAAATCACACAGATCCCAGCGCCCTATCAGCAGGTGACTGAAACACCTGGGAAAGAGTCAAACGTTCAACTTAAAAAAAAAAAAAAAAAAGGTGCTCTGAGGCAGGGAGCCAGGTGAGCAGGCTCGGTGGGTTTCACCCCCACAGGGACAAACAAAATGGCAATTCAAAATGCTCCGGGTGAAGAGTTTCACTGTGGGCACAGCTGAACCCAGGACGGTGCAGCTCAGTGGGGGAGAAGTGTCCGCCATTACCAAGGCAATCCGCTCCTACTGAGGTACACTCCCATTGCTGACGCAGCCTGCCATTGCCAAGGCAACCTGCCATAACAGAAAGACTCTGCCTCAGGGCAGAGCCCGTGGCAGCAGGGCGGAGACCGAGGCTGCAGGGCAGAGCCTGCAGCAACAAGGCGGACCCCATGCAAGCAGGGCAAAGCCGCAGCAGGCAAATCGTGACTAGACTGCCTCCTAGCTGGGCAGGATAGTGCAACGGACACTCATAAAGAAAGCCCCAACTCCCCGAGACAGAGCATCTGAGGAAAAAAGGGGTTTTATGAGTTCTGCTGCAGCAGACTTAAACGCAGCAGCCTAACAGCCCTGAATGAACAAGGGAGCTCACAGCTCAGCACTTGAGCTCCTATAAAGTACAGACCGTCTCTTCAAGCAGCTTCCTGACCCCTGTATATCCGAAGAGTCACCTCAAAAAGGACTGATCAGACTGACATTTGGTGGGCATCATTCTGGGACAAAGACAGCAGAAGAAGAAACTGGTAGCATCCCTCACTGTTCCACAGCTGCTACAGGTGTACCCCAGACACGCAGGGCCTGGAGTGGACCTCAGCAGTCATACAGCAGAGGGGCTAGACTGGTAGAAGGAAAACCAAGTAACAGAAATACTTCATCATCAACAATCTGGGCGTCCACTCAGAGACCCAATCGAAAAGTCAGCAACTACTCAGATGACAGGTGGATAAATCCACAAATATGGGAAGAAACCAGTGCAAAAAGGAGGAAAACACCCGAAACCAGAACACCTCACCTCCTACAAAGGACCAAAACTCCTCACCAGCAAGGGAACGAAGCTGGACATAGAATGACTGTGATGAAATGACGGAATTAGACTTCAGAAGGTGGGTAATGAGAAACTTCTGTGAGCTAAAAGAACATGTTCTAAATCAATGCAAAGAAACTAAGAACCTTGAAAAAAGATTCAAGGAAATGATAACAAGAATGGACAACTTAGGAATATAAATGAACTGAAGGAGCTGAAACACAACACGAGAACTTCGTGAAGCATGCACAAGTTTCAACAGCCGAATTGACCAAGCAGAAGAAAGAATATCAGAAGTCGAAGATCAACTCAATGAAATAAAACGAGAAACCAAGATTAGATTAAAAAAACACAAAAAGTAACAAAGTCTCTAAGAAATGTGGGACTAAGTGAAGAGACCTAACCTACATTTGATAGGTGTACCAGAAGGTGATGAAGAGAATGAATTCAAGCTGGAAAATACTCTTCAGGATATTATCCAGAAAAATTTCCCCAACCTAGCAAGGCAGGCCAACACTCAAATCCAGGAAATACAGAGAACACCACAAAGATACTCTGCAAGAAAAGCAACCCCAAGGCACGTAATCGTCAGATTCACCAGGGTTGAAATGAAGGAGAAAATACTAAGGGCAGCCAGAGAGAAAGGTCGGGTCACCCACAAAGGGAAGCCGATCAGACTCACAGCAGATCTCTCGGCAGAAACTCTACAAGCCAGAAGAGAGTGGGGGCCAATATTCAACATCCTTAAAGAAAAGAACTTTCAACCCAGAATTACATATCCAGCCAAACTGAGCTTCACAAATGAAGGAAAAATAAAATCCTTTGTGAACAAGCAAGTACTCAGAGATTTTGTCACCACCAAGCCTGCTTTACAAGAGCTCCTGAAAGAGCCACTACACATAGAAAGGAAGAAACAGCACCAGCCATTCCAAACACACTAAATGCTAAAGAGCATCAACAAAATGAAGAATCTACATCAACTAATGGGCAAAACAGCCAGCTAGCATCAAAATGGCAGCATCAAATTCACAGATAACAATATTAACCCTAAATGTAAATGGGCTAAATGCACCAATCAAAAGACACAGACTGGCAAATTGGATAAAAAACCAAAACCCATCACTGTGTTGTATCCAGGAAACCCATCTCACATGCAAGGATACACAAAGGCTCAAAATAAAGGGATGGAGGAACATTTACCAAGCAAATGGAGAGCAAAAAAAAGCAGGAGTTACAATTCTCGTCTCTGATAAAATAGACTTTAAAGCAACAAAGATCAAAAGAGACAAAGAAGCTCATTACATAATGGTAAAAGAATCGATATGACAAGAAGAGCTAACAATCCTAAATATATATGGACCCAATACAGGAGCACCCAGATATACAAGGCAAGTTCTTAATGACTTACAAAGAGATTTAGACTCCCACACAATAATAGTGGGAGACTTTAACACTCCACTGTCAATATTAGACAGATCAACCAGACAGAAAATTAACAAGGATATCCAGGACTTGAACTCAGACCTGGAACAAGCAAACCTGATTGACATTTACAGAACTCTCCACCCCAAATCCACAGAATATACATTCTTCTCACCACCACATCACACCTACTCTAAAATTGACCACATAATTGGAAGTAAATCACTCCTCAGCAAATACAAAACAACGGATATCATAACAAACAGTCTCTCAGACCATAGTGCAATCAAGTTAGAACTCAGAATTCAGAAACTAACTCAGAACTGCACAGCATCATGGAAACTGAACAACTGGCTCCTGAATGTTGACTGGATAAAGAATGAAATGAGGGCAGAAATAAAGATGTTCTTCGAAACCAACGAGAATGAAGACACAACATACCAGAATCTCTGGGACACATTTAAAGCAGTCTCTAGAGGAAAATATATAGCAATAAGTGCCCACATGAGAAGAGTGGAGAGATCCAAAATTGACACCCTATCATCAAAATGGAAAGAGCTAGAGGAGCAAGATCAAAAAAACTCAAAACCTAGCAGAAGACAAGAAATAACTAAGATCAGAGCAGAACTGAAGGAGAGACACAAGAAACCCTTCAAAAAATTAATAAATCCAAGAGCTGGTTTTTTGAAAAGATCAACAAAAGACAGACCACTAGCCAGACTGATAAAAAATAAAAGAGAGAACAACCAAATAGATGCAATAATAAATGATAAAGGGGAAATCACCACAGATTCCACAGAAATTCAAACCATCATCAGAGAATATTACAAACAACTCTATGCACATAAACTAGTAAACCCGGAAGAAATGGATAAATTCCTGGACACCTGTGTCCTCCCAAGCCTAAACCAGGAGGAAGCCGAAACTATGAATAGACCAATAACGAGGTCTGAAGTCAAGGCAGCAATTGAGAGCCTACCACACAAAAAAAGCCCAGGTCCAGATGGGTTCACAGCCGAATTCTACCAGACACACAAAGAGGAGCTGGTACCATTCCTTCTGAAACTATTCCAAATAATCCAAAAAGAGGCAATCCTTCCCACATCATTTCCTGAGACCAACATCATCCTGATACCAAAACCTGGCAGAGACTCAACAAGAAAAGAAAAGTTGAGGCCAATATTCATGATGAACATAGATG